TGGTAATATATTATTGCAAGGAGGTAATTGTTATATTACAGATTTAGGATTATGTGGACCAGTTGATGAAAAATCATTAAATAAAGTCTATGGAATTGTATCATACATTGCACCTGAGTTACTTAGAGGTGAAAAGAACACAAAAGAATCAGATATATATAGCATTGGGATGTTAATGTGGGAAATATTTGCAGGTCATCCACCATTTGATGATAGAGCTCACAATCATTGTTTAATTTTTGACATATATGAAAAAGGTTTACAACCACCAATATTACCTGGAATGCCTGATGACTATGCACAAATTATGCAGATGTGTTGGGATGCGGACCCATCAAAAAGGCCAACTATTAATGAGCTTTTTATTTTTGCTAATAATAAATTGAAAGAAATCATCAATAATATTGATGGTAATAATAGTAGCAATAATACTACTAGTGGTAGTAGTGATTTGCAACAAGTACACAAATCACATCCAGGCGCATACCATAAAAGTAGAATATTAGATGAAGAGATTGCTAAATCTAGAAGCTTTAAAAGTTATACAAGCAATGATAGTTCATTAAATGATCTTGATTTTAACTCTCTTCTCTTAAATGCTGAAGGTGAATAAAATTTTTATTATTAATTAATTAATTGGAATTTACTATCCATTAATTATTACTAACAATATTTTTTATTTACATTAGATTCTAATAATAATCGATGAATGACTAATTTAATCTCCAATATATATTTATATGTTATAATTATTTATCTTTGTATTTTATTTTATTCCATTTCTTAAGCTAAATTTTGAAGTAATAAACTTTTTACAGTTTTCTAATTCTTGTTAAATGGTGATATTGCAACGTAGCTTTTTTGGGTGATGTCAATTACGGCTTAACTATTTTCAATAATTTGATGCTAGTCAATTAGTAAGTTCATGAATTACTTTTCGTAGCTAGAAAGCTTCTTTAAGGTACCAGATAACTGTAAGTAAATAGATGTGGCTCTTTTACAAAGCTCAAAGGCTTTTTTAATTCACTTATGACCGGTTTATTTCAGTTATTATATTTATTTGGCTAATTGCAAACTCACTTACAAAACAACTCAAGTAAGCTTGTTTAACACCTTACATTTATGATTATAAAGTATTTTCAATTAACTTTCAGACAAATACTTCATTAACACTTACTAGTTAACCAACGTTAGTCCTAACCCTTTTTTACTCATTAAAGCAAATTACAATTGTTGCTAACGCTCACTAGTTGACCTAACTTTTGCTTGCTCTCTAAAGAAAATAAAACGAGGCTTTTTACCAAAGCATTACACTTGTAAACAAGGAAATAAAAGCAACGTTTTTATTTAAGGATTAATTTTTCAAAATAATGATTCTATTAGAGTTTTATTTTATTAGAATGTTGAATGAGTATTTATTTTTCTTCTGCGAGAACTCAAAGTTGTTGAATTTCTACAATATTTATGATTGTTTTAGCATCATACAAAACATTCATGCTTTCCAAAAAAAATTGACATTGATGTCTAATGTTAAATACTTGAATTAAATATTATTTTTATACAACATTAAATCATGAAGCATATCTAACATCTTTTGTGAATTAAAATTAATTAATATTTATTTACAGGAATGACTTATTTTGTATATATAGTATATATAATATGGTACTAGTATTTTATGCCATGGAGAAAATTTCAATAGTTAATTTGTTACTGATATTTCTTTTATTATTACTATATACAACTATTACAAATTTTACTAATATTTCTTCTTTAATATGCATTTCATAAAAAGAAAAAATCAAATCGCATTCACATTGCCTTTAATGCCCGAGTTTGAAACATACATAAGTTACAGAGAGTGTGTATTAATTTGATATATTTGTTTTTCGATCTTTGCTAATTGCGCATGATATTATTAATAAAATAAAAACGCGCTTTAGTGCCTAAGTTTTAAATACACGTAGGCATATCAATATTGATATGTAGAGTTGTGTCTATGGGTGGATTGGGTTTTTGGTCCTTTTTTTCTATCTTATGTGTTTTATCATCATAAATATGCTGTTTTTTAAAAAATGAAAATCATATTATTGCAATAATTTGAATTGTGGTGAAGTGGGTGGTGACCTTCTAATATAATTTGACCCTTGAGATGATGTAAAATCAATGGATCGTCTTCCAAAGACAGTTGCTATTTTATTATCAAGTTTTTGTTCACATTATTAAGTATTCATGTATTCTGCTCTTACCATCATGATTTTCAAAGATACGCTTTAGTTTTCGGTTTTCTCCCACTTCTTTATTGTGTTCCATTGTACAATCCAAAGTGAATTCAAACTAAGAGATTCTAGGTTAAGTATTATTAGGATGGAATAGAAGTTGAGGATTGAAGTAATTACTTACATTTAAATCTTCTAGTATTTTTTTATTTTTTTTGGTTAATTCAACATCTTTCCAGAAATCGAGAATCCTTTTCTTCCTATTTTATAAAAAAGGTAGTTAGAGATTTACTCTGATTGCCAAGCATTGTGAGCATGATTATGTATTAAAAACTATTAACAGCAAACATTGAACACGATGGTTACTCAACAAGCTGACACGATGGTTCAAATGTTGTTCCTTCGACTTGGAAACGTTCCCAGATATGCTTTACTGCAATAAATAAATAAATAAATAAATAAATAAACAAATAAATATATAACTTAACCTCGAATTCATCAAGCGCAGGAATTGCTTTTAACTGTAGTTCATTTGAGCTTCCTTTTTATAAGTTTTTAAAGTTTTACAATATGTATTATATCCATTTGTCTAAATTTTAGAAAATTAGAAAGAGCCCAATCTCAAGACTCCAAAAAAAAACTTGTTTTCATCTCTATGTCAAGTTATCTGTATAATGTATTGTTGTTGATAATGGATTTGATGCACCAATAAATAGTTGTTGATGGTAATGATATGTGAGGATTTATTGATTTCAATTGATAATGAGAGTATTTAGATCATTGGCACCTACCTACTCTTCGCTTTAATCTTGTTTTGTGCTGTGGATTTTGAAACCAATACATTTGGTTTGCACGCAAAAAAATTAATTTATTTACTCATTGAGGGATCATATTCATATATACGTATTGTGGAAATTTCGACGACGTGACTTTTGTATTGCATGATGACAATGATATTTCAAATATTACATTTATAATCATTAAAGTAGAACTTATGGTAGTTTTAGAGCAAATAATTTCTTTATATTATACAGTTTATTTGGAAGAGTAATATGATAAATTTTTTTTTTTATTTCTTTATTTAACAAGAAATGAATTTGATATCAATCATCCGAAGCATTGTGAATCAACATAACAAATTTGTTTACTACAATATTCAAGTGGTGCACGCTACAACAAAACCATACAAAGTGAACATAAAAAAATTATATATATAGGGTTATAGGTATATGAAAAAAGTAATGAGTATAATGGTTCTAATGAATATGGAAAGGCGATAAACTTTTTAGAAAAAGGTTGTGATTATGGTTGTTATTCAAGAATCCCCAAGGAACAATTTGCGGAATTAAGGAAATCCTTTAAAGCTCTTTCTAAGTCCGAACAAGACATATTTTTAATGGGCCAACTTAAAGCAATGGATGGCGGATCAATATGCACTAGTAGACGCCTTAAAAGAAAACCAGATTTAATAAAAGAAATTTCTATCATAATACACTATTTTGCCAAGAAACTTAACTCAATATGTTAGGGATTGGTAGAACTTATTTTGAGAATATCAGAAATCACTTGGTAAACAATGGTCTTTTAGCAAGAGTTCATGGTAATATTGAAAGGATGCTTCAATGGAAAATTAAAACGGTGATTGATAAAAATGTTGCTGAAGTAGTAAAATTATTTTGCATTGTAGACACCAAGTAGCTACTCTATCATATCTGTCTTGACCATAATCATTTATTTCTTTTCCTCCATGACCAATCATTTACTTTTAACCTTTACTAAAATTTCTTTTTTTATTCTTTTCTCAGTCAGCAATATTATTGTCTAATTCTTGCTGAATTAGATTTTGAGAATTCTCAGCAGCAAAATTTGATGATTTCTCTTTCTTCTTCATCTCATCAATTAATGATTAAACCTTCTTTTATATTATGACAATTAAAACATTCTTTTTTAGTCATGATTACTTATTAAGTTTTAGCAAAAAAAAAAGCATTTAGTGTTCAGTCACAAAAGTGGGCTTTTTGAATTATGGATGGTTAGAATGGAAACTTTAGTATTGGTTTCAGAAATCTCATCAAGAAAGATAAAATAGATAATAAATTTGTTCCTACTATTTTCCTTTCAAAGGTTTCTGTTTTTTGTTAAGTAGTACATCTTCATGCTTGCTTTCTTTTTCTGATATTTATTATTTTTCTTTCTTCTTGGTAAATTTCATAGGTAATCAATCCTTTCTTTTCTTAGATAAGTTTCAAGTGTCTGAATATCATTATTTTGAAAATGTAAGGAGCGATTTTTTCTCCTTGTTCTTTCTTAAAATACTTCTAATGGTGCTATAATTTTTGGGTTTCATAGTCATATTAATTATTTTTATATAGGGATAGTTCTATATATCACTTAACAAATGGAACATGATAACTAAATTTTGATCCCTGAAATTTTTTGGGTAATACCAATGTTCATTTTGTCTGGTTTTGTTGCCCCATATACACGTATAAAAAGAAATTATTACTATGTGGTTCTTAATTATTGAATATGATTTTTAGTGAAGTATTATCCTTTAGAATTTATTTCATGATAGAGTTTTTTTGGCCAACTTGATATTATGCTTTTTGTTTGATTGAACTTGTTTTTTTGCAAGTATCTTTATCAATTCATTGGATTTTACAAGTAGATTTTTTCCCGATATAATCAATAGATGCAATTGCTGTAATTTCATATTATGCTCTTCCCCAAGTAGTTTTCACTTTATATTCGGTAGGCATTTTGTATTCTCCGGGTTTTGCAATTTGTTGCAAGCTTGGAAATTACGGATAAATATCTTCTTCTAGAATATTATATATTACGTGCACTTGACTGTTTTAAACTTGAGCGATTTAATTGTTTTCATAATATGAATTTTAAATCAAAGAAATAAATATTAAAATAAAACGTATCTCTGATTTGTTATACTAGAGTCTAAATTCAATTGATACAATGATTAATTGATTAGTAATTTACTAATAACGTACGCTGAGTCTATTGACTGACTCGCTTCATCGTATCGTACTAAATTTTGGGGGTTCAAACAAAATCAGCGCATACAGTTGGCTTTGATGTTTTTTTCGTTTTTTTTTTGAAGTTAACTACACGTAATAATAAATACACGATAAAATTAGTGTCTGAATTTGAAGCACACATAAGCTGTTACGTAGAATGAATAGTAAATAAGACAGGTTTGGTTAGGTACGGGTTTTTGTAAGTTTTAAAGGCGATGAAATAGAATCCTTTTATTGCTAAATTACTAGCATCAATCAACTAGAGTTTGGTGATAGCGTTTTTTTTTTTGATGTTCAAGATTTCTTTAAATCCTGATAGAGAAAAATTTAAATAAACCATTTAACCATTCAAACCCTCCCAATTAATGTAAAAACCTGAATTATTATCACCAGAGAGAATTATTTGTTATATGACATTCAATCAATTCTCTGCAATGACGACGATTTATGCTGCAATAAACTATTAATTATGCAGTTATAGAAAATTTATTTGAAATTTTTTATCATTATTATTAATTTCATAAATCTTTTTTTTTTATGAGCGATGGTCCCCCACTCATAAAATGATCACAAAAAAAAATTGGATGTTCTTTTAATCTTATATATAATTGGGGAAAACTCTATCGTTACCACTATGATTTAAAAGTACTTGAAGGTGACCGCAGCACTATAATTTGGGTTAAATTTAAATCCAAAAAAGGAAATATGACATCATAAGGACTACATTATTAAGCAATTTTGGATGCATTATTCGGCAATTTTGCTTGGCATAAAATCATCGCTCTGCAAAAGGAATAATATAAAGAATTGAATTATTAATAATAATAAATAAATGGATGAATAAATAAACGGACTGACTAATGTTATTCTCGGAACAAAAAAATCGTTTTCTCCAATAAATAAATTGATCAAGTCAAAAATTTAAAATTTTATACATTTATTTTTCATATAATGTCATATGTTAAATTATTATCACCAGAAAGGAAGGAACTTGTATATAAAATTAATAATGAAATGTATAATAATGCAACAGCTAACTCTGATAAAGAAGGTAGAAAAGATTATTTTTTTTCATTAATCAAAAAAAACAAGGAGCTTTCTGAAAATGAAAAAAAATTTTGTAAAGAAAGGTTTATTTATGATGTTGAATTAAGAAATGCAAGATATAAAGAGGGAAAACAAAAAGAATGTAACAAGTGTAAATTGATAAGATACTCTGATAAATTCTGTGAAGGTTGCATCAGTTTACAATTACAGAGACTTTTCACTGCCTGGACATCTGGAAATAGCATAATTGATGACTTTATTCAACAATGTCAAATGAAATCATCTTTGCCAGGATATATTTTAGAATGGATACCTTTTGAGCAATTTAAAAATGTAACAAAGTTAACTGAAGTTGGGTTTAGTTCAGTTTATACTGCTGAATGGGAAAGAGGAAGAATAATTGATTATGATGAAAATAAAAAGGAATTTAGTTATTTTGGAATGCAAATTGTGGTGTTAAAAAGTTTAAATGATTCAAGTAATCCAGGAAAAGGCTTTTTTGATGAGGTTGGTAGTTGTAATTTAAAACAATACTATATATACTGTATTATATTATAATACTAATTGATTTTATATTCAATTTCAGGCAATGAATTATTGTAAAATTAAGTCAGGGATGATTCTTCAATGCTATGGTATAACTAAATTCCCAGACAATGGAAATTATGCAATGATTTCAAGTTATTATCCAGATAGAAGTTTAAGGAGCTATTTACAAAAAAATCATTTAAATTTAACATTAAAAGACAGAATTTTAATCTTTAGGTATTTATGTAATGCACTATATAATATACATATGAAAGATTTAATCCATGGTGATTTACATAGTGGTAGTATACTTGTGGCAGGAGGTAATTGTTATATTATAGATTTAGGATTATGTGGACCAGTTGATGATGGAAAATCATCAGATAAAGTCTATGAAATTGTATCATATGTTGCACCTGAGTTACTTAGAGGTGAAAAGAACACAAAAGAATCAGATATCTATAGTGCTGGAATGTTAATGTGGGAAATATTTGCAGGTCATCCACCATTTGATGATAGAGCTCATGATCATTGTTTAATTTTTGATATATGTGAAGAAGGTTTACGACCACCATTATTACCTGGAATGCCTGATGATTATGTGCAAATGATGCGGAGGTGTTGGGATGTGGACCCATCAAAAAGACCAACCATTCTAGAGCTTTTTATTTTTGCAGAGAGTAAATTGAAAGAAATTTGTGATGATATTGATGATATTAATAGTAGCAATAATACTACTAGTGGTAGTAGTAATTTGCAACAGGTACACAAACCACACCCAGATGCATATCATAAAAGCAGAATATTAGATGAAGAGATTGCTAAATCCAGAAGATTTAAAAGTTATACAAGTAATGATAATTCTTGATTTTAACTTAAATGCCAAAGGGCGAATAAAAATTTCATTATTAATTAATTGGAAATTACTATCCATTAATTATTACCAACAATACTTTTTATTTGCATTAGATTCTAGTAATTAAAAGAAAGAATCAATGAATGACTAATTTATTTGTTATCTTTTTATTTGTATTTCATTTCTTAAAGCTAAATTATAATATTTTGAAACAATAAACTTTTTCCAGTTTTTCAATTCTTTGTCAAATGGTAATATTGCAAGACGGGATGGCCTTTCAATTTATTTAACATAACTTTGAGCTACTATTGTCAATTGATCACAATAATTCAACGCTGGTCAATTGGTAAAGTCTACAAATTTACTTTCTTGTACCTAGA